ACGTGTCTGCCCTCAGCCATAGGCAGTACTTTGCCTGTCCCCACTAGGATTTCTGGGCAATGGTGAGTAGCCATCCACTGACCTTGAGCTTTGGTGGCTACCCAGCTCCAACCGAGATGGTCAGTGGATCTCCAGCAGTGAGAATCATTTTCAGGTCCTTCGTGTTTCTGGAAAAGGCTGTCTGCGCCATTCAGTGGCATCCCGAGCCATGGCAATTTGGTGCAAGTCAGTCCAGCCACCGGGCATGACGTGGGAATCCCTGAAGACAGATGGGAAAATAGGCTGGACACATAGGGCCATGTCCTCAGCCTTTCCCATGTGAGGCTGGGGGAGGGGCAGTAGAAGTTTGCATCCCCTGAGACAATAGCTGTGCTGGGGCCAGAGGTGGTAGACACCTGCCACCCTAACTCAGCAAGGCAAAGGCAGGGGAATGCTGAGTCCAGAAGCTGGACACTGTCTCAGAACACACTCTAAGGTAGGAGGTACTAGAATGAGGGCGAGAGGAAGCTGGGATGATCTCGGGATCAATCTATGCCTGATCCCAAGGACAGGGTTCACCTCCTCACCAGGGAAGGGGCAGTTCTATGGCCCAAGACCTGGAGGCAGGGGCAGTTCCGTGGCCTGAGAGCTGGAGGCAGGGGCAGTTTCGTGGCCTGAGAGTCAAGGAAGAGACAGCTGGTAGTCTAGAGCTGGGGAAGGGACAGCTCTGCAGCCTGTAGGCAATTCCCTGCAGCTGCCCTCCTAGCTACAGGGCCAGGCTCGGCTGCTACATTATTGCCAAGACTATTGAAATCTGGTCTCAGAGCCTTGGGTTCAGATTCCCATTCTTGGCAGTTTCTGTCTTCTCTGAACTTCAGTGCCTGGAGTTGGAAAGGGATTTCCCTGCTTCATCCCTGCCTGAGCACAGTCTGAGCCCATTAGGTCAGGGGCCTTTAGTAACGCAATGTCTCTCACCACCTTTTGCAACATCTGGTTTGTATTGTAGGATGGTACATTGGTGTGTGTGTGTGTGTGTGTGTGTGTGTGTGTGTGTGCGCGCGCGCATGTGTGTGGGGAGTTTATTCTCTGGGCATGCAGGCCACAAGCAGATGTCTGGTGTCTTCCTCTGTTTCTCCCCACTTGTTATTTGAGCAAAGGTCTCTTGCTGAACTTGGCACTCTTGGATTCAGCCATACGAGCTGGCTGGCCAGAGGCTCTTCCTGCCCCGACTCCCCGGTACTGGGTGAGCTTTACCCTGCCTTTGCACACTGATTATGGGGAATCTGAACTCACGCTTGTACAGCAGGACTTTGACTGAGTTGTCTCCCTGCCCTGTGTTGTTTGGAGACAGACTCTGCAGAGCGCAGACGGCCTCCAGCATGCTATCCTCCTGCCAGCCCTGGTACTAGGATCACAGGAGTGAGCCACCAGGTCTGGTGTAGCAAATTGACTCTTAATGATCCTCCTGACTGAAGGAGGAAAGCCTCATTTTGTTAGTAGGTCTGACCTTTCTGGAGGCGTCAGTGTACATGACGGAAGCTGATGACACTTTTCCTTTATAAAAACGTGTTTCCGAGAACAAGGGTTTCCTCAGCTTTACTCTCCCAGTCTCGCTCTCTGGCCGTGGATTTGTTTCCTCGCTTCTTGTCTGCGTCTCTGCAACTACAAAGTCCCCCAGAGAAGCAGGGCCTTTTGCCTGTCCCTTTGCCATCCCATGTGTCCTCAGCACGGGGACTGGTGCCTGGCACTGAGTGGGTGACTACAAATCTTGGTGGAGTGAGAGCTCAGGTATAGAGAACCTCCCAGGAGCTCTTGGATTCCAGGCTCAAAAGAACCATGAGACACAGAGGGCCGTGTGAATTTATTTCCAATATCCAAAATAGCCTTGCTTTGGGAGCGAGACTGGGAGAGGAGACATGTTTACCTGATGGTCACACAGATAGCCGCGTTGTTATTAAAGTGTTAAACAGTCACAAACTACTGCTCAGTACACGCCATAAGTCAAACTGTGATCCTCTAAAACTGCAAGCCACCTTGGTACCATCTAAAGAGGTCACATTTATAGCAGGCCTTTAAAGAAGGGATCACCACAACCAAGCAGTTAGGGTGAACTCCGACCTGTCCCGAATGTGGTGAAAGGAAGTTTACAAGTTCAGAGAGACTTCGGATGGACAGACAGACTGAAGGTGTGTGAGGACAGACAGACAGAGTGAAGGTGTGTGAGGACAGACGGACAGAGTGAAGGTGTGTGAGGACAGACGGACAGAGTGAAGGAGTGTGAGGACAGATGGACAGAGTGAAGGTGTGTGAGGACAAATGGACAGAGTGAAGGTGTGTGAGGACAGATGGACAGAGTGAAGGCATTTATAGACACACAAACAGTGCAATCTGTACGCCAAGAAGGAGATGGTCCCTGGCAGAGTCAACATCGTGGCCATTGGTTTCAGCCCCCAGGCCTTAGTATTTCCTGATGAACCCCGTGGCTGAGGTCTTTCGTCTTGTATGGTTCTTCTGTGGGTCTGAAGAAAATGATGGCGTTCGTTTCACCCGTTTCTTCAAATCTCACTGGACTCTAATATTCAGTGTTCCCATTCTGGAGATGTGAAACAGAGGCTTACGGAGGTGAGCGACTTGGCAGAGGACCTACGACCCTGTGGGTGCTTTGGGGGGGTCCTTTAGCACCTTAAGTTCCCCATGGCCAAGCCCAGTAGGCTTTTGTGTCATGTCCCCTTCCCTACCAGGACCTTGAACCCACAGAGGTCCTGTCTGTTCTTCACAATCCCGCTGATCATCCATTCCCTGTCTGGGAACTCTTTGCTGTGTTCTTTGGGAAGACAGGAGTCCACTGCACCCCAGGTATACTGCACCTACCCCAGTCTAAGCCCTCAGCCCCCCTCCTTCCCACTGTCCCCACTGACCATGCTCAGAGTGGAGGTGTCTTTTCTTTCTCTCTCCCGCTGTTTTGATTCAGTTGTGTCTATTCTTACAACACAAGAGAGAAACATCGAAGTTTAACAGCAAGGATGCCAGACCATGACCTTATCTAGAGACAGGCAATCAAGTTTTAAAAAGTTCATTAGGGTGGGTGCTTCCAGATGTGCAGAGAGGGGAGTTGGTGGGAGGAGTTCAGGGGGAAGGAAGGGGTTCCCACAGTCCTCAGAGGGCTGGCCTCTTGTTCATCAGCATCCATCCCCCAGAACTGAGAAGAGACAGCTATGCTCCTGCCCTAGAGGCTGCATAACTGCCCCCCAATAGCCTGGCAAACAGGACACACCCACAATTCACACAGCAGCTCAACTCAGGGATTCATCAGTTCTGTGTGTGGCACCCGCTTGGTTCTATTTTTGCAAGAAGGAGTCTTTGCTGTTACCTTGCAGGCCTTTCTGTAACAGTGCAAGGCGACAGCTGCAAAATGCTGGCCCAGCAGCAGTCACACAGTGCGTGGTCAGTGACCATTAGCTGTCTCTTCTTAACTGGTGATTACTATTCTGACTCCTTCGAGGAGATTGAGAGAAAAAGGTATCTTGGCTGTGAGGCTGGAAGATGTGCCCAATGCAGTTTATGGTTCCAGTGTGCTGAAGTGTGGGTACTGGTGCTGATTGTGGGTGGAGCTGAGTGTGGGAGGGGCTTGAGTGGGTGGAGCTGTGAGTAGGCAGGGCTGATTGTGGGTAGAATT